CACCTGCTCCCTACTACCCACCAGGTGTTGTGCCTAAGTGTTGCAAGAGGTGGGAAGGAGGAAGAGGCTGAGGGTCTCAGGTGTGAGCAGTCAGAGTGGCATGGCCAGGGAGAAGCTGTGAGAAGGAAAGGAGGGAGGGAAGAGGCAGGGGGTGCTGACCCAACGGTGTGGGTACGTGTGCCTACTCTCAAAGTCATTTAATCTCCAGGAAGGGCTTTGGAGTGGGCACCTGTGTGTGGCATTCTCACTTGTTAGTTCTGAAAGTCCCAAGTAGATGGGGTGGGGGAGGGGCACAACATGAGTTCCCATTGGACAAGGCAGCAAATCAGAATCCTTTCTGGAAACCCACATCTGCCTGAAACGCCAGAGAGCATCACACACACACACACACACACACACACACACATGCCATAGGAGGCAGGGCTGATCAGGAGAGGAAGAGTCCCAGCACCCAGCACAGCACTACCACAGTGGTGTTGGGGACACAGGGCTAAGGTACCCATCTCCCCTGTCCTGGGCTCTGGACCAGTGTCTCCCCGGCCCCTGTGGCTGGCACCCAGTGAGGCCTCTGCTTCACTGAACACATCTGTCGGACATGCAATCCCATCTTCTTCTTGTGTGACCACAAGTCACAGGGTCAAGTGCTGAGCAGTGCACCCAAAGAGGGAACTCAGAGCTCTAAGGTGAGCAGTGTGGGAGAGGAGAGAGGCTTAAGTGAGCAAAAAAAAAGAAACTTAGGGCCAGCAGCTGGAGGTGGCGTGCTGCCAGGGAACATAGTAGAGGGCAACACTTGGGAAACCTACTGTTCGTGAAGGCTCCTCTGAGGAAGAACGTCTCCCACCTGGTTCAGCGTAAGAACACCTGCAGCCCCTTCCTCCCCTGAGCCTGCCCACCCCCACCCTCCTACCACATCATCACTGGGCCGCCCCTCCTTTCCCTCTCCTCCCCTTCTATCCTCTCGTCTCCTCTCCTATGTTCTCCCAGCATCTGATGAGGAATGGGAGCTCTTCTACCAAGGCATGCAGGTGCATTTGGCCCACAGGCCCCACACACCTGGCACTTACCCCCAGGCCAGGGAACCAAGCAGGTATGGTGAGGCCAAAGGACTTGTGGCAGAGGTGGGGACGGGGGCTGTATCATGAGTGGGGTGGTCCACAGTGGTTTCCAGAGGATGCTGCCCTAGGTTTGGAGAGTGGAAGAGGAGCAAAGCTGGAGTCAGGTGCCAACAGCATCCCAAAGCCAGGTGGGGTAGTGGTGGAGGCTGGGGCAAGCGCTAGGTCAGCCCCAGGGAAGCTCAGCTCGGATGAGGAATGAGGAACCATGGTGGGGAAAAGGGGAAGCTAGATACTGGACAATGATCAATCAGGAGGAGAGCTGGGGCCTACCCTTTCCCACCAAAGGAAACCATAAAGCAAGCCCCGGAAGAGTGATGATGGGGCCTCTGCAGGAAGCTCGGGGGATACCCTGGCAGGCATCCCAAAGCAGTTGCAGGCAGAGGGCAACAGGAGGTGGTGGAGTGGAGGGGCATCCTTGGTGGGAGGTTGCAGGGCACTGCCAGTGCTTGGAGCTCTGCCACACTGCTCCCCTCCCCAGTAGTCCTGGGCTGTACCCTGTTGATGCTGGAAATGAGGTTCACAGTCTGCTCGAGCCCTCATGGCCTCACAGCACACAAAACATAACAGACTTTTCAGGCCGTGCAGCAGAAGCTGAGCCACCTCAAAACACACTGAGGCCCTTCTTACCTGCCCCTCACAGGATACCTGCTCTGAGCACAGGGGGCTGGAGTGGCTGGCTGGATATGAAGGGAACTTAGTGCCTCGGGTGCTCCACCTGGTCTATCCATTTTGAAAGCAGCAATGGGAGAAAGAACTCATGGAAGGGAAAGGCCAAGCCAAGGCAAGCTGGGGTCCTAGGCAAGGTGCCAGGGGCCATGAGCACTGGGAATGGGAGGGTTGGGAGTGTGGTCAGCATTAGGCTCTGTCTGAGGACGCAGGAAGAGTGCATGCAGATAACTCCAACGGTCACTTAGCAAACCATGTGCTCCGTGCTGTGAAGTCCCATGACAGGGCTGCCTCACCCATCCTCCTCCTTACTCTACCCCCTTTTCCCACAGCATCACCACTGCTCCCCCATGGAAAGAACATCCTACTCTGATGGCAGCTTCTTCCACCCCACACTTCTGCCATCTCACAGAGGCCCGCGACTCATGGCACCTCCCCTTGCTCTCTGCCTGTCGGCTGCCTCCTCTCTTCACTTCTCTCCCTCCATGTGGTAGGGACCAAGTTCATCAACCAACCACTCATTCCTTTGTTCTACTGTTCATTGCATGTGCTTGACTGACAAGAACTGGACTCTACACGAATCCGGTTGACCACTGTACCTCGGGCTGCACCTAGGTGTGCCCCATCGAGGCAGCATTCTGCCTAGCGCTACTGAGACACATTGCTTGCTTGTGCTTGGCAACCTGGGCAGCTTCCAGCACAACCGCCCCACCCTCCCTTCTACCTTCCCGTCTTCCACATTAGCAAATACCTCATCTTGTTCTCCAAGTTCTGTATGCTCCATTGGAAGGTCTGCGGGGCCATTTGACATTTTGCCCACCTCTATCTTTGGGATTTTCCGAAGCAATTACCCCTACTCTCCCCAGCCCATCCTTCTCATTGGAGCCAGGGAAGTCCTTTACAAATGAAAATCTGCTCATGCCATCCCAGTCTAAACCATCTCATTCTATTTCCTTGCTCACAACTAAAGGAATCCATCTGGCAACAATTCGAAAGTGTGGTGGGGAGTGCTTTAGAGATCAAAAGAGAACAAATGGGTGAGAGGCCCAGTGGATGGTTGTGGGGCCCAGGTGAGACTGGACAAAGTCGAGGTGCACTGCAAAGTGTTCAGCAATGAGGTGGGAGTGGAGGGCAGAAACACTGGTCCACTGGAAATTCCTGCAGTGTGAGGAAGTCATGTGCTATTAAATGTGGAGATCTCTTACTGAGTGTACATAGAAAGGCCATATTCCATGGTGGAAGGGGCAGATTTCTAGGGCCAGAAGTCCACAGAATGATGGCCACAAACCAGAAGCAGGGGTGGCTAGTAACCAGACCGTGGGAGCATCACCTTCATCCCGGACGTTGCTGTTCTCACACTCTTCCTGCTTTCTCGACACCTGCTGTGTGGTGAGCTGGGTGTTGATGCATAGAAGATGCTTTCACATCGCCCTCTCTGAGATTGGCAGAGAAGCCAAGGAGTGTTGCAAATCTCTCTCCTCTGACCTGACTGCAATCAGAGACAATCCATGGAGTGATTATTATTCAGAAGTAAGCCTGGAGCAGGTGTCATTTGATAGATACATCATTGCATGCAGGCCTACGTGTCCTGGCAGACACAGTCACGATCCTTAGCGCCGGGTGGCCAGCAGCCTTTCCACTGTCACAGCACAATGCTGTGGGCAGGCCCTCCTTGCCAGCCAGCACTGGCAGGAAGTCTTAGCTGGCCAAGTCATGGCCCTTGAAGAGCGCAGAGTGCAGTCACCCATGGGCAGTCAGGTACCACAGGAAGGCTTGGCGCTGTCTCCGAGTCCCTCATCTATGTCCTGTTTCTGACCACACTCCTGTGCTCTCTGAACCTCCTTCAGAGTTCTCCCTGGAGAAGCTTATTGTCATAATTATCTGAGGACACTTCATACTGGGTTGGTGAGGGCTGAAATAAGCACTGGTGCAGGTATATGGGTGAATGCGTGTGGAGTTTTGAGTATTTCCAGCTCTATGTCATCTCATAAAAACATATCGAGGCGACTTCCTACTTAGGTCCTGATACCACAATGTTTTCACCAGTTAGCATTACAATTGCCTGTTTGTTTTCCACTATTTAGAACATTCTAGCGTGTCTTTATTCCGTTCCCTAGGATGTAGAAATCCCTAGAGAGTTAAAAGTAATTAAGTGGTTATCAGTTTAGGATCTACATCTTCGTTCGGAGGAAGAAGCCAAGGTTCAGCCAGGGTTTTGCAGCTGATGGGAAACCTGGCCATTCCAAGTTGCCATCCCTAGACACACCTGCCCAACTGAGGCTGCGCTGTCCCAGTCAGAGCCACCGGGGGCGCTAGAGCAGTGCCAAGGGTGACAGCAGAGGGTGAGTCCTGAGACAAGGTGGCCACTTGCCTGTGTTCCTGGTAACTGGAGTGTGTCCTGCAGACCTCGGGTAACTGGTCCTCCATCTTCACAGTATTTAGACATCTGTCCCTGTACCTTACACTAGGCAGGCAAAGGGGGTTAAGACTGAGGGCAGGTTACTAGGCAAGGCTAAAGAAGAGAGTGGAGGATGAGCTGGGATTATTCAGTTGATTTGTCTTCAATACCTGAAGATGCCCCATGTTAGAGCAAGGCTGGCCGTGGGCCCTGAAGTCATCAGAGTGCAGTACCTCTTTACCCTGCCTCTGTGAGATGGCATCTTTCAGGTTTCCAGATGGGGACCACTCTTTAGAATCCAGGCAAGAGTACAGCAAGACCTGTGACATGGTAGATCCACAGAAGAGGGGTACAGAGTGGGGTACCAGAGGTCAGAGGGAAAAGTGTTTCCCTAAGGAGGTACTGTGGATTCGTTGGGCACCACAGGGGCAGGAGAAAACCCAGTGACTAGTTAGGTGTCTGACCAGGGAGCTGGGGGTAGGTACAAGGTGGGCCAGGTAGGGCCTCAATGGCAGCCAACTGTGGATCTCATGGGTGCTTTAATCTTCCAGGTGTTCATGCCAAAAGCCTTCTGGGCCGTCCCTCTGACCTGGAACTTGCAGTGACCAACATCTCCTCACTGGGCAGTGCCCAGCCAAGACCTAACCAACACGTGACACTTGTTGCCAGCACGCTGCCTACTTCACACCATGCCACAGAAAATGGTGTGTTTACTGGAAAAGGTCAAGGAGCTTCTAGAAGGAACCCTGGACTGCTGACCAAGAACCTGCTCCAATGTTATGCAAGTGGGGGTGGGGAGGAGGGCGCACGGGCTGAGTGGATAAGGGCAGCCCGGAGCCAGCCAGGCAGTTTTATTGAAATCACTTTAAATAATTTGCACGTGTTAGTCTCGTGTGTCAGCAACGCTGTGTCTGGTTGGGTGAGCCCCGCAGGAGAGCGAGCCCAGGGGTTGCGTTGGCCAAGTGCTGTGTCCCTCGAGTCCATGCTGAGGCTCCCCTACATGGGGAGAGGAGTCCGTCAGCCCAGCCTGGACTTATAGGTGTGTCCTGAAGGCCAAAGGTGGAGGCCTAAGAAGTCCGAGGCCCCACTGCTAGGAGCGTGCCCCTGGCAGCTGCAGGCTGGGTGTGGGTGGCTTAGCGTGGTGCCCTCGGTGGCAGAGGAGACTGCCCGCCTCACAGTTGAGGTTGCGGTAGCGGGCAACGGCTGGTGTGGGGCGCGGGCACATGGACAGGAAGCCAAAGCTGAAGGGGCCGAGGCAGCATCCAGGACAAGGCAGCCCATCCTCAGGCTCCCGGGGAGCTGCAGGTGGCGGCGAGGGTTCTGTCCGCTCCAGCGCTGCTGCCCGGGGCAGGCTGTGCTGGGTGTGGTGCCAGGGCTCCCCAGCCCAGGCCTGTGGGGAATTCACCACAACTGGAGGGTTGTTGTTGAGGGGAGGTCCTGACCTGGGGTTCCAGGGCTGGGAGGCAGAAGAGCAAGTACTGATGAAGTTGTCTGTGGCCACGGCCAGGGGCAGCCGTGGGGCTGGGCCTGCAGGTTCTGGCTCAGGGCTACTGCCCTCACACTCCATGCTCTCCTCGGCTGAGGGCACAAAGGCAGGAGGGCCGGGGCCTGGCAGTGCAGTCTCCATGCGCCGAGGGAGCTCAGGGGATGAGGGCAGCGAACGGCAGCGGCGGGCAGGGGTGCCCGGCTGGACCAGGTTCTCCGGGGTGGTCACCAAGGGCAACTGGGTGGAGGGCATCAGCGATGGAGGTACGAGGGGGAGGGGGGCGACAGGCTTGCTGGGTGTGTTCAGGAGCTTGATCTTGCCACCCCTGAGGTCTTCCCTTAGCGAGAAGGGGTTCACTCGAGTCAGATGATCCCCCCAGTTGGGGGGTGATTCTGGTGACGGGGGCAGGAAGAGGTCCGACCGACTTCGGGAGAGGCGGGGATCTGACCTGGGAAGCGTGGCAGAGGGACCCCCTCTTGGCACAGCCTCTGTAGACAGAGGAGTCTGTTAGTAGTGTTTTCAGCACTGGCCAGTATTCCCTTGAGAACCCCTTATCCTTTAGGAGCTTATGGGGGGTCTGGGCTCAGAGAAGGGCGTTCCCACCTCTAGTCCCCAACCCCTCCTCCCTTCTGCTGCTCCCTCAGACTCCGATTTTGGAAATCATCATTATGTTTAACCACTTTTCCCACGCTCATCCCCTGACTAACTCTTGCTTGTTCAACTACTAAAACTCAGCTGCCTCTCCCCTGCTGTGCTGGTGAGTTCTGAGAAGAGGCAATGGGATTCCCTGGGGGTCAAGGTCCCACTCGCTCACCCTGAGTGGACGTCAGGAGACTCCTGGTATGGGGAGCTGGTTCAGGCAGCTGCTCCAGGATCCACTCCAGGTGCTGGGTGATTTCAGTGAAGGGAGCACGGGTGCTGGGTTCCATCTGATGGACAGCAAAGGGGCAACCTCATTCAGTCCAGGACATCCCCCACCCCCACCGTGTCACCTGTGGACATGTGTAGACAGGTTCAGCCAGCTCAGGGAGGAGAGGGAGGCACTTACGCTGCAGCAGTGGATAGCCAGAAGCAGGAAAGGCAGTGGGCAGTCGTCCCCCACCAGGGTGCGGAATGCAGGCACGTCCAGGCCGAAGTCCTGCAGCCAGAACAGTCAGCCCTCCTTAGGGTCTCTCTCCAGCACCCAGCAGTCAGAGCCTCAGCTTCCGGGGAGCGCCCCCCCAGCATGCAACTCTCCTTCCTTTGCAACCTAGAAACCCTCACCTCAGTCCGGGGTAAGTAATCAGGATCCGCGGGTACGCGGGCGATGAGCTCACACAGGACGATCCCGAAGGCGAAGACATCAGCCTGCGGGCAGCAGAGGCGCATGGCAGTTTCCTTTTGGGATTCTCCCAAAATGTGGTGGCAATGGATCATTCCCTTCATTCCCTCTCCTGGGGCAGAGCGCGCCTGCGACGGGTGAAGGCCTGGGAATGCTGGGGTCCCCTCAGAGTATCCTAAGGTCCTGGGCAGCCGCAGGGACCCGAAGGGCAATGCTCACCTTCTCGTCATACAGCTCGCCGCGCAGCACCTCCGGCGCCATCCAGTATGGGGAGCCCACCACAGCCAGGGGTTCCTTCCTTGCCCCTTCCCTGCAGGGCCAGGTGGTCAGAAACAGCCCACGCAGGCACCACGCCAAGCCCAAGGGGAGGAGCAAGCCCCCTCTCCCGAACAAGGGAAACGGGCCACGTTGGGGAGCTAGGGCCCTTTGGGCGGGTGGGAATAGCACAGGCAGGAAGCTCACCTGTACACAGGGATCTTCTCAGCCAGTCCGAAGTCACCCACCACGGCCGTTAAGCCTCGGTCTTCCCGTCGGACCAGACAGTTCTGACACACACATGGCATCCCACACACCCATCATCCTCTGCTCTCTGTGCTCCCACATACACCCCCAGAGCCCTGCCACTCCCCAGCAAGCCTCTGGGATCTCCCGGCTCCCCAGTGCACCCCAACATGTTGCTGGACTCTCAGAATCATGCCATGGCCTCAGCCCCACCCACCCTGGCATACTGTAAAGTTCCCTCTCCACATGCCAATGCTCATGTTCTGGTCACCGCCTAGCAGTCCCAACCACCTCCCCTCCCTGCTCATGTTTCCACCTGCTGGCCAGGCCAGCCTACCTTGGACGTGAGGTCTCGGTGGAATACACCCTTGGCATGCAGATACCGCAGGCCTCGAGCAATGTCCAAGGCCAGGTGGAGCCTGACCCGCCAAGACAGGGGTTCGGGGGAGCTGAGCAGCTGTTCCAGGGTCCCCCCATTCATGTACTGGGACATGGGAAAAGAAAGGGAACATCAAGGCTTTGGTCTGGACTCACAGTCTCTATCTGACAAGCCAGGACCCCCCACACCTCCAGGAAGCCCGAGGGTGAGCCTGTGGCTATTCTGTTCAGTAGCCACAAGCCACGGGTGATATCTAAATTCAGGCTATTCAGCTTAACACATAAGTCAGCATTCAATTCCTTGGTCACACTAGCCACATGTGCAGCACCGTGTGGCTGCTGGTGACTGAATCTGACATTTAGCTTAGACAATTAGGTAGTGAATGTTTCCATCACTGTAGAAAATTCTATCGCACAGCACTGTTCTAGACTTTGGGGAAGAGGCCAGCTGTGGCCTCTCACGTGTGGCTTGCCCGGAGGGAAGTTTGGGGAAGTCCCTCTGGGAGGAGTCCTGGTGCCTGTCAGGATTCCTAGGGAGACCACCAGGCCCGCCCTCTGCCTGCCCTCTGGGTGCCCGGGAGGCAGGGTCCCCCGTTTCCGGCCTAGTCTCACCTCTGTGAGAGCGTGCAGCTGTCCTTGGTGCACACAGACGCCCATGAACCTGAAAGAGGACCAGGGCGAAGGACAGCAGGGCAGGCGGTAAGGGCTCCGGCACCCCCGCGGTGGCCACGGGTCCCGCGCCCAACAGGGTGTCCCGGCGAGAGGCTGGGCGGCTCACCTTAGGATGTTCGGGTGCCGCAGCCGGTTCATGAGCTGCACCTCTCGCAGCGTGTTGCCCCGGTTACTGGGGAGCTTGTTCATCTTCAGCACCATGACTTGCCCAGACTGTCGGTGCCGAACCTGGGGGCAGCAGGGGGGGACGGCTGCAGTCCGCGCCCTGACTCTTCCCCCGACCCCCACACCGTGCTTTGGGGTCCCGCCCCCCTCTGCCCGCTCTCCGCGCTGGTCCTACCTTGTAGACCTCGGAGAAGAAGCCGGCCCCGATCTTCTCGGCGCAGTGGAAATCGTCCACCCGCGCCAGGCTGGACACCGCGCTGCGGAGAGCCCGGTAGGAGGAGGGGCGGCCCCGGCCCGGGCCTCCGCCTGCACCCCCGGGGCCCGGCAGCCCCTCCCCCGGCGCCTCTCCAGGCCCAGGGCCCCGCAGCGGGGGCCGTTCGCCGGCCATGGCCGGGCCCCCCAGCCCGCGCGCCGGCCTCACATGGCAGAGCCCTCCGGGCCCGGGCAGGCCGCGCTCGCCATGGGCGCGGGCCCGGCCCGATCCGGGGCGCCGCGGGGACTCCTCCCGCTCCCGCCTGGAGAATGGGTGGCCGGGTGGAGCGGGGAGCGGGGGCGCTCGGCCGACGAGCCCGGGCCCGCCGCCGCCGCCGCGCCGGGGTGGACGCCCCTCGGTCGGCCGCGCGCAGGCCCTGGGCCTCCCCGGGCGGCCGGGCTCCCCGCAGGCGCAGGCGGGCGGCGGCTGCTCGGCTCCGCGGCCGCCGGGGCTCGGGCTCCGCGGCCTGCCGAGGGCGGAGCTGGGCCGCGGGGCCCGGCTTAACTCCTTCCCGCCCGGCCCGCGCGCCGCGGCCACGCCCCCCCGCAGGTGCGCGCTGGCCGCCCGGGGAGGCCGGGGTCACGAGCTCGAGTCCCGGGCGGTGCGCTCGAGTCCCGGGCGGTGCGCTGGCCCGGCTCTAACGTCTCCTCGCCTTCCTCCTCTCGCCCGGGGCGTGTGTGTGTGTGTGTGTGTGTGTGTGTGCGCGCGCGTCTCGGGAGGCGGCTCGATCCCCAGACTGCACGGACCAGCAAAGGCAGAAAAGCAGACCCCCCCACCCCACGACCGCGACTCAGGCCCCGCCACAAACCGCGGCAAGCCCCGCGACCCACCCAGCTGCCCGGCCTGCCCGTCGCCCCTCCACCGCAGCCCCTGGATCTGCGGGACGCCCCGCGGCTCTGAGGGAGGCCCTCCTCACTCCATCCCGCCGCCCCCACCCAGGCCCCCCAAAAGCACTGGATCGAGGCTCCGCCCAGGGACCACCCTCTTACTTCTTTGTGCGAAGGACCCTCTCTCTCAAAAGAGGGCAGCCTTCACCTGAGAGGACAGCCCCTGCTTCCGCGGGACCCCACCCCTGCGCAGGATCCCGCCCCCTCGAAGAGACCCCCGTCTTCCTGCAGAAGACGCCTCCCCTTCAGGGGACCCTCTCCTCCGCGGGACACCATCGGTGTGGACCGAGCCCCCCTCGGTGTGTTCCTCCCTCGCCGGGAGACCCTCACCTCTCGGGGTGCCTCCCCCAGTCATTGTGACCCCTCCCCTCAGGAGGCCCCGCCCCTCCGGGCGGCCCGGCCCGGTGTCGGCGTGACCCCGCTCGCAGGTTCCGCCCTCTGTCACGTACGAGCCGGGCCTGCCCCCTCAGGCAGGAGGAGGAACTGCAGCCGCAAGGAGGGGCGAGTCCAGAGCGCACCACGCAGTGGCCGCACCCACCGCTTCCGGTTCTGGCCGTCAGCTCCGCCCCCGAATCATCGACAAGGAGCCAATCACGTGCGGAGAGGGGGGTGTGGCGTCGCTGGATCCGGGCGGTCGTCTCCGGGGCGGCCTGCCACCCAGCGGCGGCGTGGAGGGCGGCGGGAGCCCGGGTGCCCGGGGCGGCGTGGAGGGCGGCGGGAGCCCGCGGCCCGAGGCGGCCTGTCAAGAATTTTATCTGTGTTTGTGGCCAGCTAAGTAGCAGGCACATAGGCAGAGGCCGCGAGGGACTGCTCGCTCACGGAGTCCTGTCACACTGTGACCGTTAGAAGGGCTAGTACCCGCTGGCGTTAGGTCCCTGTTAAAGAGTGGGAGATGATTGCTGTGGCCCTGAAGGTTTGGCCCTGAAGGATGGTTTTAGCCATCCCCTATGTAAATAATCTTTTACATTTAAAAAGTGCCATCCCACCGTTTCTAGTTTTATTGTGAGAATGAGTTTTGTTTTATCCTAAGCGAACTAGACAAGGATTACAAGTCTGGCTTTCTGACGGACTTTTGTCCCAACCCACTTGCTGACTGTTAGCTGTTGTTCTTGACTTAATAAATCTCATTTTGCTCGTTGAATTGTCCGCATGAGAATTCTTACTGTGTGTGAGAGAACCGAGGTTGCCTGCCTCGCTTGCACCAGTTTCCCTGTAACACCTTCACCCAGTTACTTGTGCTGCAGGAAAGCTGGTTGAGAGAGCAGCCAGGGTTCAGGCTAGCTGCTGGGTTTGGGGTGATGATTTATGAGGCTGGACACAGCGGTGAGAGCAGAAAAAGTGATGTTTTACTAAGGAAGGAATGGAGAACCTAAAAAAAAAAAGCATGGGAGGGGCTGGCAGAGAGCGCTGAGGTTCAGGAAAATTGACGTGTTCACCTCGTTATCTCCAAGGGACAGAGGCAGTGCATCTGCATCAGTTCTTGGGAAGGCTGGGACAGTTTGTTTTGTTTTACTTTGTTTTGTTTCTGCTTTTTTTTTTTTTTAATTGGAAAGGCGTATTTACAAAGAGGAGAGACAGAAAAATTTTCCATCTGTTAGTTCCTTCCCCAAATGGCATCAACAGCCAGGACTGAACCTATCTGAATCCAGGACCTTCCTCCATGTCTCCCACGTGGGTGCAGGGTCCCAAGGCTTTGGGCCGTCCTCCACTGCTTTGCCAGGCCATGAACAGGGAGCTGGATGGGAAGTGGAGCGGCTGGGACATGCAGCAGTGCCCTTATGGGAGCCTGGTGCTTGGAGGTGGAAGATTGTCCTGTAGAGCCATTTCACCAGCTGCCCTGGGGGCAATCTTAAGGGAAGCCTTTCTAGTTTGCTTTTCTCAACACTCGGTGTCATCATTCATGAATGTGTGTCACAGGGGTGGGGTCGTCCATCTTTGTTTAGAGTGGCTGCACTGGAATCGTTATCAGGCTGTTGGTCCTGGACTCCATTGTTTGGAGTATGTTTTTGGCATTAGAAATTTACCAGTAAGTGTCTCAACATGTTCCTTCTAAAGAATAAAAAGTCTTTGCAAAAGCCACCATGTTTTCATACCTAAAGGAAACCTCATTGCTAATTCATGGAATACTCAATTGTCCACATTCTTCCCAAATTTTCCAAGAGTGTTTATTTCAATCAAGATCTAATTGAAATGCATCTCTGTTGCTCCTTTTTAATTTTTTAGATTTTATTCCCTTTTGTTAGAAGCGCAGATTTACAGACAGAAGAGACTGAAACATCTTCCACTGCTGGCTCACTCTCCAAATAGTCTCAGTGGCTGGAGCTGAGTTGATCTGAAGCCAGGAGCAAGGAGCTCCTCCAGGTCTCCCACAGAAGTGCAGGGTCCCAAGGTTTTGGGCCGTCCTCTACTGCTTTCCCAGGCCACAAGCAGGGAACTGGATGGGAAGTGGGGCCACCGGGATACAAACCACTGCCCGAATGGGATGTTGACTCTTAAAGTGCAGGATTAGCCAGTTGGGCCAGTGGAGCCATCATTCTGTCCTCCAACATCTTTTTAATTCTTTGAGTGTGTTTTGGGGGTGGGCATTTGGCACAGCACTTAGGATGCTGCTTTGGATGCCCACAATTTATTTTGTAGTGCCTGGGTTCAAGTCCTAGCTGTGCTTCCTAGGAACTCACACCCCTCTTGGAGGCAGTGGATAGTGACTCCAGTGGTTAGGTCCTTGCCATCCATAGGGGCAGATCCACATCAAATTCCAGATCTTGACCTTAGCCTGGCCTCTGCTATTGCAGACATTTGAGAGTAGGGGGAAAATCTTTGTCTATCTCTGATTCTCTGCTCTTCAAATAAAAATTAAAAAACAAGTGACATCCCTCCTTTAACTTTTTTCTCTCTTACTATTTCTCCCTCCTTCCCCTCCCTTCTTTCTAGAAACCTGGTTATTTGTCCCATAGAGTTTCCCAAAGTCAATTTTTTTTAAGATTTAGTTTTATTTATTTATTTATTTATACAGAGAGGAGGAGAGACAGAGAGGAAGATCTTCCTTCCGATGGTTCACTCCCCAAGTGAGTACAATGGCTGGAGCTGAGCCAATCCGGAGCCAGGAGCTCTTTCAGTTTCCCACACAGGTGCAGGGTCCCAAGGATTTGGGCCATCCTTGACTGCTTTCCCAGGCCACAAGCAGGGAGCTGGGTGGGAAGCAGGGACTGGAACCAGCACCCATATTGGATCCTGGCACGTGCAAGGTGAAGACTTTAACCACTACACTATCACACCAGGCTGAAGATTGATTTACTTATTTCGAAGAATTACACACAGAGAGGGGTGGACAGGGAGAATTAGAAAGATCCTCCTCTGTTGCTTCACTCCCCAAATAGCTGCAGCAGCCAAGCCTGGGCCAGCCCAGAGCCAGGAGGCAGGAATTTCATCCACGTCTCCCACGTGGGTACAGACACCCATGCACTTGGACCTTTTGCTGCTGCTTTCCAAGGTGCAGTAGCAGGGGCCTGGATCTGAAGTGGAGCAGCTGGCACTTGAACCAGCACCCGAATGGGATGCTGGCATCTTAGGTGGCATTTACCTGTTATGGTACAGCTAACTCTGTTAGAACACTGTACCACTGAATTCAAAATTGTTGTGGTTATCTTACAATTGTGCCTATGGAATCCATTTTCTTTATATTAATTATTTTCTTAAATTTCTGAGCTGCTTCTAATATAATTTTTAAAATATTTATTTCAGAGGCAGAAAGAGAAACAGAAAATACTACCGTCCACTGGTTTGCTTCCCAGACACCCATAGCAGTGGGGGCTGGGCCAGACTGAAGCAGGAACTCAGGTGCCCCATGTGAGCCTCAGGATCCCAGCAAGTTGAACCATCACTGTTACCTTCCCCAGTTCACACTAGCAGAAAGCTAGACCAAGTGCTGGAGCCGGGATAGGAGTAGGCATGGAAGGGAAACTGTGGCTAACTGCACACACCCTGGTGCAATCGGATGGGTCCCTCAATTTCCATTCTTGCATGTACATCAGTGGGTAGAGAATCAGATTTACTTATTTTAAAATATTTGTCTATTTAAAATACAGAATGTCACACACATAAATGAGAGAAAGAGAGAGACGAGAGGGGGAAAAGGAGGGAGGGAAGAGAGAGAAAGAGAGAACATCTTCCATCTGCTGGTTCATTTCCCAAAAGTTTGCAATAGTTGGGCTACCTCCACTTTCACAGGAAGCTGGATTTGACATTGAC